TCTGTGTCTCTCTCTGTCTGACGTTATGTCACTTGGCCATTAACGTCCCCCAGGTCCATCCGTGTGGTTGCAAACGACAGGATTTCCTTCTATCTCATGGCTGCAGACTATTCCGTTGTGTGTGTATGTCACGTCTTCCTTATCCCATCAGCCACTGACGGACACTTGGGTCGCGTCCATTTCTTGGCTGTTGTGAAGAGCGCTGCCGTGGCCACGGCGGGGACAGATATCGTTTCGAACCAGTGTTTTGGATTTCGTCAGCTAAATACTCAGGAGTGGCATTGCTGGGTCCTAAGGCAGTTCCATTCCTAATTTGTTAAGGCACCTCTATACTGATTTGCGTCGTGGCTGCACCCATTTGCATGGCCACTGACAGGGGTCCCCTTTCTCCGTGTCCTTGCCCGCCTGTGTTCAGTCCTGTCTTTGTGACGGCGGCCACCCTGGCGATGTGACGTCACGTCTCACTGTTGTCCCCGTCCTGGCTGCAGGAGCAGAAAGGAAAGGCCCCACAGCACGGCTGCAGCCACGGATTCCACAGGATGTTGCCCAGGGAAAACTGGGGGGGCACGGGGCTCAGCGTCGTCCTGTGCTGCTGCACCGCCTCGCCCACCGTGGCGATCACCTCCTGGTACAGGGGCTCCGTGCCTGGGGACAGGGGCCGGGCCTCCGAAGGGTCCCTGGAGAGGTCAAACAGCAAAGGGGGGCTGTGCCGGGTCACCCCTTCCCCGGAACAGGGGCACACGCCCCGGCCGTAGCAGGCCCCCGCTCCCTCGGGGTGGAACCGCGGGGTCACGTAGTGGACCTTCCAGATTCTCCCGCCTGCATGCAAACAGAGAGGCAGTCAGGGCAGCAGAAACCGCAACGATGGGAAACCCGTGACCCAGGGTCCAATGCTGGGGAACCGTCATCCACGCGCCACGTGATAGAAAAAGAGAAGGGACGAGACTGCAAGGTGGGTCGTGCACACGTGTCACCAGTGTTGTCACATCGGGGGGTGTGTGAGTGCACGTGCACGTGTGTGCACATGGCGTGCTCCAGGCACAGACAAGCAAAGAGACTCATCCAAAAGGGCTCAGGGAGGCCTGTGCGGGGACTAGAGCCACATGTACCATTAGACTATTCAGACCCTGTGCTCTGTGTTTCGATGGTTCAAGTGTCCCCCCTGTGATGCCTACACACAGAAGCGAGTCTGTCCACAGCTCGATGGGCAAAAGTCTTGCTGTGTCCTCTAGGGGTTCGTTTTGGGTCCAGGGCAGATAATAACGCCGCTCAGAGGACGTCATGCAGTGGGGCCGGCGGGCACCTTCCCCTGCAAACGTGCTCAGCAGCACCTGTCACCCTCAGGGATTGTCTTGAGGGACTCTTCTCAGCAAGAAAGAGATGTGCTTGCCCACCGTGAATTTCAGGTGTCGACATGGCCAGGAGACGGTCCCCACCTATGGGGTCAGACACTGGTCTAGATGTCACCGTGAAGGTGTTTTTTAGGTGAGTTGGCCACTGAAGTAGGCAAGCTTGGAGAAAAGCAGGTTGCTCTGCCTCCTGGGGTGGGCCTCACCCCATCAGCTGAAGGGCTTAAGAGAAAAAAGGCGGAGGTTCCCCAAAGAGGGAGGGATTCTGCCTCCAGACCACAGCGTGGAAATTCAGCCGTCAGACTCACGAGGGCAGCGTCCACTCCTGGCTGGCTGTCTGTCTGTCTGCCCTGCAGGTTTCAGACTTGCCAGCCCCCTCAACCACGTGAGGCAGTTCTCTAAAATCTCTCTCTCTGTCCCCATCCACCCATCCATCTCACTCACCCACCCATCTATCCATCCATCCATCCATCCACATCTATCTTTATCTTCTGCCTATCTATTGCTTATCTATTTAATCTATTTAACTTATAATTTTCCTGTCCATTTAGCTATCGTCTATCTATCCATCTACCTACCTATCTTCTACCAATCTATCCATCTATCACCTACCTACCTACTTACCGTTCTTCTATTTAATCTATCTTCCTGTCTATGTAGCTATCATCTATCAACCTATTAATTTTCTCTCATCTACTCACTATCTCTCACCTATCTATGCATTCATCCATCTCTGTCTGTCTGTCTATCTATCTATCTTGTATCCATCCATCCATCCCCCACCTATCCATCCATCCATCCATCATCCATCCATCCATCCATCCACCATCCATCCATCCATCATCCATCCATCATCCATCCATCCATCCATCATCCATCCATCCATCATCCATCCATCCATCCATCCACCATCCATCCATCCATCATCCATCCATCCATCATCCATCCATCCATCCACCCATCCATCCATCCATCATCCATCCATCATCCATCCATCCATCCATCCATCCATCCATCCATCCATCATCCATCCATCCATCATCCATCCATCATCCATCCATCCATCCATCCATCATCCATCCATCCATCCCCCCACCCACCCCCTCGGTTCTGCTTCTCCGGAGAAGCACGCCTCACACGAGCCCCCCAGCGTCGAGGGGAACGCGTGTACTCACTGTCCCTGTCGCGCCAGCGTGCCGCGTGGAGGTGCTTCCCGCAGTAATGAAACAGGAAGTCGTGGGCCGAGCGCTCCACAGTCCCTTGCAGCAAGGGCACCAGGCTATGGCCATCGATCACCCTGATGCAGGGACGAGACCAGAGGAAGGAAGGCGTCAGACCGAGGCCACCTGGGCTGCGTGAGCCCCTGGGCACGAAAGTCCCACACCTGACAGCACGTGACGCAGAGATCAGCTCCGTCCCTGAGCGCTCAGCAGGCCGCCAGCTGCCGACCACCATACACAGTGTTGTTTTAAGACACACAGTTCCTGAGTCCCAGGGTTGTGTGCGATGCAGCATTACACCCACAGACACACACACCGCCCGCCCCGCATACGTATTTATTAATACTCTGGAGAACCCGCATGGACCACAAATACCAGGCCTTTCTGTGAAGAGAAGCTGGGGACGCGACCCCTCCTGCTATCGTCCCTCACACCGGCCTAGTTATTTGGTCCCACAGGTGGAATCAAATCAAATCATTACCAAAACACTGACTTCTGTTTCTTCTCCTGCGTTAGACATGCTTTGGCTGTTATCAAGGCGAACGCCATTTTCAGGGCATACCGTTATAGCCCCGCCCACGTGTAGGCACGTTTTTTAATTATACGGAGACGTCTCTCCATGCACCACATTGCAACGGTCCGATTTCCCGCTTGTTAGGCTGAGCTCTGCGATTTGACCCAAACTGCAGAAATAGGCAGCTGGACCCAATATTTTCATCTAAACCTGTGTTTTCCTGATGGTTCTTGTAGGTCCGGCTGTCTCCTACAGTTGAGGATGTGAGCGTTTTCTTAGGGTCCCTATGTCCTTGCAGTTTATAACCCCCTACATGTGAAAGAAGAAAAGGAAGCAGGTGGGCTCTCTGTACTTGTACCTGTCTTGGGGGACCTGGCCGCCCCCCAGCTGCACCACCGTGGGGAAGACGTCCATCAGGCTGGTGGGCTCCTGGATGACCCGGCCGGCCGGCAGCACCCCGGGCCAGCGGGCGATCCCCGGGACTCGGATGCCCCCTTCCCAGCCGCCCATGCCTTTGCCACCTGTAAGGAAAGGACATCGTTAGGACTGCCCAGGAGACCGTGCGGTGCAGATACACACCTGTGTGCACGTGTGTGTGTGTGTGTGTGTGTGTGTGTGCGTGCACGCATGGTGGCAGCCGTCTTTCCCCAAATTGGCCATGCCCCCACCAGCAGGCGGAGCCCACATACTGTTCTTGGTCCCACCGTCTGAGCGCCAGGTGCCAGCCGTCTGGGCTCTGAGAGGCAGCAGCAAAGGGACAAGGCACCGCCAAGTCATTCCGGGAGCTGCAAGAACGCAGTTCGTGGCGGCTGTACGGCGCAGGCCGCTGTTTCCGTGCGGAAGAGGTTGCCCTGAGCTCCTGCAGGCGGCCGGCGTTTCTTCTCACATGGTCCTTCCACCGTCAAAGCTTCAGCAGCCTGTCCAGTCCTTCCTGGGTCTCAAGCCGGACTTCTCCGCCTGCCACCAGCTGGAGGGAGCTCTCTGCTTTCCAGGGCTCAGAAGGTCAGGCCAGGCCCAGCCACTCGGCTAACGTCCCCACCTAACGGTCGGCGGTGCCGGGTTACACCGTGTGACCACAGCACTGACGTCTGGTCACTGTGACAGATGCCAGGGCTCAGGGTGGACCGCTGTTCAGTTTCTGCCAACCACAGCCACATATATGAGGTCGGGCAATTAAGTTTGCGAACGCCTCCTAGGAAAAGTGCTGCCTACCTCACTGCTGAATGTCACCACGGTCACCTTCTAAGTCCTCCCCTTGGGAAGCTATGCACCGACGCCAGCGCCTAGTCCACCCTTCAGAGCAATTTGGGAACTCTTTTTCTGGACTGGCAATCAGAGCTGTCGTCGTATGACCCTTGAGGTCCTGAATGTCATCCAAATGTCTTCCTTTCAGTATTTCCTTTATCTTCAGGTAAAGAAAGAAGTCACTGGGGGCCAGATCAGGTGAGTAGGGAAGGTGTTCCAATACAGTGATTTGTTTCCTGGCTAAAAACTCCCTCACAGACAGTGCCGTGTGAGCTGGTGCATTGTCATGATGCAAGAGCCATGAATTGTTGGAAAAAAGTTGAGGTCGTCTAACTTTTTCACGCAGCCTTTTCAGCACTTCCGAATAGTAAACTTGGTTAACTGTTTGTCCAGTTGGTACAAATTCATAACGAAGAATCCCTCTGATATCAAAAAAGGTTAGAAACATCGCTGCAACAAGTTTGTGAACTTAATTGTCAGACCTCGTACACGTGGGGGTTTCCCAAGAAGAAACAGGTTCATATACAGTCAATTCTTACTATTCCTAGTAGGTATGTTTGTTCTACAGAGTCACCAAAACACTGATTTAGCAAATGCGGACCCACTTCTCGTAGCGGAAAGACAGGGTTTAGGTTCCTGACAGCCTCTGGTCACTGCATCTTCATCCGTTGATCAACGCAAACCTTGGTTCATGCTGACTCTGGTGAAAGACACCTGACTGAACAGGTACTGCTGATGCATGGAGACTGAGTGCTGCACCTGGGCCGTGTAAACAGGTAACTCGCCAGCAAAATGCATGCAGATGCAAGCATATGGCCCGAAGTGACCATGGAGGGGATACGTTCACAGTCAGAGCCCAAACGAGCGGGCAGAATGTCCCCGCTGCCCCCGCCTCGGCTGGGAGCGTGTGCATCGCGAGACTCCGTTTCTTGGCCCCTCTGAGAATTGACTGCAAAAGCGCCACAGGGGTTGACGTGGGGTTTTCACAGGTGTGTTTCCGCCACTGGGACTCACAAGGATAGGATGCATGGGTAACGCAATTGACTGTGTCAGACTTTAAAAAAAATAGCTATAATATAAAGGTATTCCACCCTAACTGGGACACCATCTACTGGAATACAAGGACACACACTGCCCCACTGGGCTATCTCTTTTTTTTCTGGGAGTGTTCAATACATTTTTATCTTTTTTTTGTTATTTGTTTCAGGTGTACAGCATAGTGGTTAGACTTTTATATAACTTACGAAGTGACAACCCGAACTAGTCTATCTGACACTCACCCTCGTTATTAGAATATTATTGACTATATTCTCTATGTGGTTCTATATATCCCGTGACTATTTTTTTTTTAATTACAGTTGACATTCGGTATTATTTTACATTAGTGTCAGGTGTACAGCATAGTGGTTAAGACATTTATATAATTGATGCAGTGATCCCCCCGAAAAGTCTAGTCCCCACCTGGCACCATCGATAGTTATTACAATATTATTGACTATATTCCCTGTGCTGTACTTTACATCCCCGTGACGATTTTGTGACTACCAATCTGTACCTCCTGAGACCTTCTTAACTCCTTATTTGTACATCTTTTTCTTCTATTAAAACACAAATCCTTTAGAGGAGACCATGCGTCTTCTCTCTATCGTGGCATGTGGGTAGAACATGGTGTATAGTAGATGCTCAATAAACACCCTTGGAAACAGCGCGCTCTTTCTGACGCCCACCTCATCTCCAGCCTTCACTGCTGGGACCCACGTGCTGTCACGTATCTGTTTTCCAACCCCAGGGTCCATCTGTCTTACCTCTGTAGATGCCATTCCATCCACCCAGCTGGCCGTGTTCATCTCTGGCCTCCAAATGTCCTCCATGATCCGAGGTGAAGTACGTGAAGGTCGTGTTTTTCAAACCATGTTCGTCAAGGGCATTCAGAATTCTACCTGCACACAACACAGAACGTTTCAAGACAGCGTGAGTAAGCTAGCATCAGCGAACGCAACACAGTTCCCCCTCTCTACGGAAGTCACCGCGTCCTAAGAAGGGACCCCCGTCTCCAGGAGGCCACGGTGATGCATGAAATCATAAAATGTGAAGACACACATCATTCCTCTCTACGGTAGGGCTCAGAGTCCTGCTTACAAAGACACCGACAGTACGGAAGACACATAAAGCTGGCAGGTCTCTTGGACATGTTATGGCTGCCATGTACACACACGTCCATCATAGTAAGTGCATGTGGATGGGGACGTGATGAGAACGTGGCTGTCCCAGGGGTGTCTCACACAGGAGGAACCCAGGGCCCTGAGCATCTCTGGGTGTTGGCATATGGTGGCCAAGACCCAGCAACGCAGAGCCGTCTGCCAACCACGCGACGGCTTTAACCCACCGAGGTCGCGGGAACTCAAAAGCATGGAAAACAAAGCCTGTGAGCTGCATGGGCTTTCATAGCCCTAAACATGCAGGTTGTGGAACCCAAGATTGAAAGTGACTGGACTTGGAGCTCAGCGGTGCCCTCCACAGCTAAGACTGAAGGACAACAACTTGACTTGGAGCTGATGGGTCCTGGGAAAACACATCATTCCCCGAAAAAACACTCTCCGGGTGGCTTTACACACTGGACTTGCTGGGAGGGCGGTTTTTTGTGCACAAGGAGACTTCAGCAATCAGAAACACTACACAAGCATATAAATGACGTGGCAGACTTTTCTCCCTCTTCACGTTCTTTACTGCACCCCGGTTCATGGTGGGCTGGCCCACGCATGGCCATGCTGTCACGGGGAGGCCGAGAGGGAGTGATGCTCTCGGGGGGGTGCCCCAGCTCACCTACAAGCCAGTCCATTTCCTCCACGTTGTCGCCGTATAAGCCATGCCGACTCTTCCCCAGAAACTCCTTGGTGGTTACCAGGGGGATGTGGACGTGCAGCAAAGAAACAAAGAGAAGGAACGGCCGGTCCTTATTTCTGAAAGAAGAAAAGCATCCTTCAAAAATAACGGCCTGCGTTTCAGTGCGATGGGGTCCACGACGTCTCAGCAGAGACGCGTGTTTTGGAAGCCCATCCCTCTGAAAGGTTGACTTTTTCCGACCCATCTGCTCAGAGGCCGGCGTACGGAACCTCAGACACGGGACAGAGACGCAGAGGCTCTGAGAACTCACCACCTCTTTGCAATGGGATGGTTTATGAAGGCCAACAGGCACATGAAAAGATGCTCAACCTCACTCATCATCAGGGAAATGCAAATAAAAACCACGATGAGACACCACCTCACTCCGGTCAGAGTGGCATCATCAATAAATCAACAAACAACAAATGCTGGCGAGGCTGTGGAGAAAAGGGAACCCTGGTGCACTGTTGGTGGGACTGCAGATTGGTGCAGCCACTATGGAAATCAGTATGGCGGGATCTCAAAAATCTGGAAGTGGAACTACATTATGATCCAGCAATTCCACTGCTGGGTATTTATTCAAAGAAATCCAAAACACTGATTTGAAAAGATAATGTAAACCCCTATGTTTACTGCAGCGCTATTTACAGCAGCCAAGACTTGGAAACAACCGAAATGCCCATCGGTAGACGACTGGATTAAGAAACTTTGGTACATTTACACAATGGAGTATTACTCAGCTATAAAGAAGTTGGAAATAGTACCATTTGCAACGATATGGATGGAACTAGAGAACATTATGTTAAGTGAAATAAGTCAGTCGGAGAAAGACAAATACCATATGATCTCACTTATATGTGGAATCTAAAGAACGGAATCAACAAACAAACAAAACAGAAACCGTCTCAGAGATATAGAGGAACAACTGATGGCTGCCGGATGGGAGGGGTGGGCAGACGGATGAAAAAGGCGAGGGAGTAAGAAACAGAAATTGGCAGTTACAGCACCGTCATGAGGATGTAACACACAGCACAGGGACTCCAGTCAATAGTACGGTCCTAACTACACACGGTGTCAGGTGGTTATTACCCTTATCAGGGGGATCACTGCATAAATTACACAAATGTCTAACCACTATGCTGTACATTTGGAAACAAGTATAATGTTTTACGCCAACTGAAATGGAGAAATACATTTTTTTTTAAAAAAAAGGGGAGCACCATGATAATTTAATTACCTTTCGATATAGGAAACGGCTTCCTTGAGCAGACGACTGCCCGTTCTTTCCAAAACCATGGGCTGCTCGGTGACGTTGTGGTTCTTCATGAGGATACAATTCCAGCGACGCACAAACCCGAAGCTAGCGTACCAGGACGCGAAAACCAGGACGCCCAGGCCGGCCAGCCCCGCGACCGCTTTCCAGGAAACGGAGGTGAGCCCACCGGCCCTGCCAGCAGCAACGGTCAGGATCCCCAGCGCCATCAGCTGGGTGTAGCGACCCAGCTGTGCCCTCAGGGACGCGTCCACCTCCGGGGGCCGGCCCGGGTCACAGTCGTTGACGAGCGTGAAAGGCATGCCGTAGAAATAGCCGAACCCGTGGTTGAGTGGGTGGTGGCAGTGGTCCGTGCGGGACTCACAGTTCACGCCCTGGTGCCATTTTCCTGAGGATCAAAGCGGAGCCGGACGTGGAAGGGACTCGGTCGGACACGAGCCGCCTTCGCAGGATCATGTGAAGGTTGTGATGTAAAGGGACGGTATGTGGGGGGGGGTTGGTAGATGAGGGGAAAGGCGGTCACATATGTGGTGACGGAAGGGGAAGCGACTCTGGGTGGTGGGCACACAGTGTGACGTATAGATGACGGATTACAGAACGGTGCACTTGGGCGCGCTCTCTAAGGCGCTTCCTTGGTGACATCATGTCAGGTGTCACAAGGCGTTGCTGGGAGAAGGAACACCTCCTCGTGGCTGGACTAGGAGAAGGCTCTGGAAGCTTGTGACAGGCCTCCCCCCACACGCCCTTCTGTTGGCCGATTTTGCTCTGTATCCGTTCACTGTCATAAGTCATGGCTGTGACTGTGACGATACGCTCAGGGGGTCCCTCCTGGTGAGTTCCCCAGGCTACAGGTGGGCCAGCGGACCCCTCACAACCCCCCTTTACAACGAGGGACCTTGGGACCCTTCCCTGAGCGTGCTGTGCAAGTCAAGGCGGTGCTCATTTACTCTGAGGGCCATTTGGGGTAAGATCATTTCTAGACACGTTTCTGATAAACCAAGAGAGGAGAAGGCTGAGACGGCCAGGGAAGGAAAGCGGTGACTCGAGCACCATCGGGAATTAAATCTACTTGTCGGTGACAAAAATGGCGACATTGTAAACAAGCCAAGCAGAGGTCTGATGGGCCGGGCACCAGATTTTGGGTCCCCAAATGGGGACTTTTTCCCCTTTGTAGGAACACAGGTTCTCGGGATCGCTGATATGCAAGGCGACCGAAGGGTCCGAGGCGTACCTATGAGGCCGGTCGCGTAGCCTTCCCGCTGCAGGATCCTTGCAAACGTGGTCTCGTTCGCGGGCAGCCCGCCCGAACCAGCGTTCCACTGAAGGGCCCGGTATCCGTCGGTGGCTTCCATGCCTGTGGACCAAACACACAGGAAGCCTTTAGTTTCTGTGGGCTGCAGTGCGGGCTCTCAGCACGGAAGGAGTGACTCTGCACCCCTCGCCAGGGGGCACGCTGCCATGCCAAGCATCATCTTCGGTTGTCACCACTGGGGAGGGGTCCCGCTAGCGTCTCGTCGGTGGAAACACCCGACTCTGGCCCAGGACAATGTCACCACAGAGAATCAGCCCAAATGTCGGCAGTGCTGAGGGTGACAAACCCTGGGCCTTTGCAGGACTCTGTTTATCTATCTATATACCTCCCATCTATCTATCTCTATCATCTATCCATCTATCAATCTCCTATAGATCAACTGATTGAACTATCAATCATCTATCTAGCATCTATTGATTGATCGATCATCTATCACCCATTCATCTCTATCATCTACCATCATCTTCTATCCATCCATATCTATCTATCTATCTGTTCATCTATCTATCTCTATCATTTATCTATCTAACCAATCATCACAACTCTATGCATCCATATCTATTATCTGTCAATCATCTATCTGTCTAGCATCTATTGATCAATGGATCATCTATCATCTATCTATATCATCTACCATCATCATCTATCTATCCATTATCTATCTATCCATTAATCAATCTATCTATCTATCATCTATCTATCTAATCTATCAATCTATCAATCATCTATCTAATCTATCATCATCATCTATGCATATCTATCTATCTTCTATCTTCCATAGTGATCATCAACCCAAGGTGACTCTGCCCTCCAGGGGACACCTGGCAATGCATGGAGTCACTTTTGGTTGTCACAAATTGGGGGTGGATGTTGTTTGCCACTAGCTTCTAGCAGGTGATGACATTGGGGGCACCTGGGTAGTGCAGGATAACGTCCCCACCTCGAGGTACTAAACTTGAGCACATCTTCAAAATCACCTCTGCCACATAAGGAAACCTTCATTCATTGTGGGCGTTACAAGGTGGCATCTTTGGGGGGAAACGGTGCATTACTCAGCCCCCCACCCACCCAGGGCCCTTCTGAAATCCTGACTTCCCATCAACATTGATGCAAATATTTAAACCATCAACAAAACATGAAACATAACCAGCTACCACGGAATAGTTTCAACCTTCTGAATTCCAAATTATCACAGCTTTTTCTTCTTGTTTTTGGTATGAGTACATGAAACACAGTATTTATGTAACCGCAGGACGATGGAATTGCAGATTAAGTTTTGAGCACTTTTCTGGTGTCTCACCCACCCCTACCCCACGATTACGGACAAGGAACGGGTGACGCGGACGTGCCCTTTTCCCGGTTGTCCCTACAACACCTACCTGATCTGAATGAGTGTCTCCCCGTGAGGAAGGCCGCCCTGCTTGGGGTGCAGAGGGGGGCAGCCGCCAGGTGCTGGGTGAGCCGCACGCCTTCGTCTGCGAGCCGGTCGATGTTCGGCGTCCTGAGGAAAGCACAGATGTGTCACTATCAGGAAGGGGTGCGTGCATCAAGCTCCAGGCGATGCCTGTGTAGGGGGAGTCCGGACGGACTGTGTCACACACCCTAGGGACAACACCGGGTTTTAGAATGACTCAGGTTTGGGTCCCTAGCAGGAGCTTGGAGCCGCCTCTCTGAAGTGTGGCTTGGGGGCGGAGACAGGTGGTATCTCACGGGTGCTGGTGTAGTTTAAAGCACCCACCAGCACCAAAAGACGGAGCACCTGGGTGTTCTTTTCAGCTTGTCCACATGTGCGGCACAGAGCTGAGGAGGAAGGCTGTGGCTTGAGCAGTCAGACGTCCAAAACTAGAGTGGGATTCCTCCTTACAAGTAGCAGCCCCGATGTCAGCTTTTCAGCTGAGACCCTGGGTGTGGCTGCAGGGTGCTTGCAGGGACGCCAGCCACCTATGGCCAAGTCTGGTTCTCCATCTATTTGTTTAAGTCCCTCTGGAGCTAAGCATCGTTTCCACCCTTTTCAAGAGTTGGGAAAAATAAAAAGGAGAGAGAGAAAGGCAGGCTGCACAGACCTTGGGTGGCTCTTCATTAAAAAAACGGCCCCTGGGGGGCCCCTGATTTAGAATGCAAAATCACATGCAGCCTAGTTTCCAATGGGCTGGTTGCTGGAAAAAGTACCGTGGCTCGGCCTTACGAAGGGAACGGCTCCATGCCATGAGTCTGAATAGCGTCATACGAGTCACTGAAAGAGGAAGTGAAGGATGCTTTGGAGTGAAGGATCGGGGATGAGGGCGTCCTGGGTCAGGGGGGCCCTGAACCCCACGACAGTGTCCTTATCGGGGACAGAAGAGGAGAGACACAGACACAGAGGGGACGCCCCGTGGAGACGGAGGCAGAGACGGCAGGGAGGCGGCCACCCGCCCGGGGACGCCTGGAGCCCCCAGGAGCTGGACGGGGCAGGAGGGACCGTCCCCTGGGGCCTCCGGAGGGAGCGCGGCCCTGAGACAGCTTGATGTCACACTCCTGGCGTCCAGGACATGGCTGAGGGTGGGTTCCTGTGGTTTTAAGCCCCCCAGTGAGTGGTCCCTTGTTTAGGAAACATATCCACAGGGTTCTATGTTGTTTGAAAGGTGCAGGGCTGTCTTTTCCTGTCCAAAAATAAATCTTTTGGCGCTGACGTCTGATGCACTAAGGAATTTCCTGCTTCCTACGGGCAGATTTTCAATGCATCCTTCAGCCAAACACCCGCGGACCCTCACACACCCCAGCAGCGCCAGCAGCAAGTACCTCAGTGTCCTGTTTCCATAGCAACCGAGATCCCCAATGCCGAGGTCGTCCGCCATTATCAGGAGAATATTTGGCTTCAAGGCTCTGGCTGCTTGTAACTCGCAAGTCCCGAGAAGCGCGCACACAACGAGCAGCGCTGGCGGGCAGCCCCTGGAGAGCAAAGCGAAGAGGGGCTGCAATAAACGTGTGGCTTTTGGCACGAAAAGGCGGCGTTTGCAGCCCGCTTGCGGGGCAGGGATGTGCACTTGCACTCAATGAGGGTTTAACCAGGGATGGTGGCAGCTGGGTGTGTTTTCCTTTGTCCCCATTGCTGGCGAAACAACACTCTGCAGGAAACCTGCATTCGCCGGGGGCGCCAACTAGGTGTGTGTTTTAATCTGCTTTAATTTACTCCCTTTGTGACGCATCAGGCCACTTCAGCTAACACGTCACGCAAGGGCGTCGACGAGGCCGAGCGCGGGCGCACCCCGTCCCTTCCGCCGAAGGTCCCCGAGTTCCGGCTGCGCCATGACGGGGGCGGCACCTAACCGTGCAAGGAGGAGACACGGGAGCGCACAAGCGCCCCGGGCGCCCCCGGGCGACGCAGCTCAGCTGCTCCACGCGCGCAGCCGCGGCCGGAGCGCACAGGGCGCCGCGCGTCAAGGGGCTCGGAGCGCACGGGGTGGGGGGGGCCCCCCGAGGTCTCCCCGCCCCGTGGCCGGAGGGACGCGAGGCCGGGGCAGCTCCGATCCCGGCGAACACGCGTCGCGGGGTCCCCAGCGGGGTCCCCGGGTGCAGCTCGCGTCTCCCCAGTTGCGCCCCAGCGCGCTCGGGGCGGGGCCTGCCGGGTGTG